GAGGAGGAGGAGGAGGAGGAGTGGAGAGGGAGGATGAAGAGGAGGGGAGAGGGAGGATGACGAGGAGAGGGAGGAGTAGGAGAAAGGAGTAGAATCAGGATGAGGAGGAGGAGGAGGTGGAAACGGCGGCGGCGTTGAAGGACGCGCTCAAAGAGGCGGAATGTTTGCTGCGGCAGGCGGGCAATGAGGTGTCGGAAAGAGCACCGGCAGCAACAAAGGCTCATGCGAGAGTTGTCTCTCCAGGACGACGGCGCCCTGCGAGCCATGGCGGCGCAGAGGGACCACGAGGCCGCAGTGGCGGCGAAACGGCGGCGATTGGCGAAGGAGCTGAACGACAGGACCTTGGCGCTCCGAGACCCGAGGAAACACATAAATTCGGGAGTCGGAGGCCGCCTTGAGAGCGAGCAAAGAGGCCGCAGTCGCGGCGCAGGCGGCGCTGGCGAGCAAGCTCGCCCTGGCACAGTGGCAGCCAGAGGAGTTCAAGATGAGGAACAACAGGACGGCGGCTCTGCATCGCCTGGCTCGCGGCAAGGGCGTTCTCTCGGATGCGCAGAGGCACGAGTGGGCGTGATTCAAAACGAACTGGGACGACGAGATAATCAAGGAACATAAGGAGGAGTGGCCAATGACGTTCGCGGGGTGGATGCAGAATGTCGCCAACGACGCCTCAGATGGGAATCGCGCGGCGCTGTCGGAGTTCGCGCACAACGAAACAGTGATAATTTTAGGCGGTCAGATGGCGCTGGCGGTTCCTGCGAGTGCCGCTCCTGGCAGCAGTCGCGGTGGAAGTGGCTGCGGTTGCTAGTTACGTGGCCGCGGTTGTAGCGAGGCTTTGCCGCAGTTGAACTTCAGTTGCGGTTCCGTCGTCGGTGCGTGGAAAAAAAAAACAGCTTCGCTAATTATCGGCTCCTCCTCCTCGTCCTCCTCCTCCTCCACCTCCTCCTCCTCCTCCTCCCCCCATCCAGCTGCTGCTGCCTCTCCTCCTCGCCATTTTCGCTCCGCCCCCCCTCCCCCGCCGCTCCGCGTCGGAGCCGCACGGTCCTCCTGCAGCTGTTGCTCCAACCCCCCTTGCCTTCATCACTCCCCGCGATAGCTATCTGCGGCTCGAAAAGCCGCCGCTAGCAAACGAGGCCGCGGCCGTCGGTTGGGGCAGCCACGTGGCCGTCGGCGGGCCCGTGGCCGCCGAATGCACGCGTCCGCCGCTCGGCCGGCAGCAGCGCCACTGGCTCCGGAGTTCAGGTTGCTCGCGGACGGACTCTGGAGCAGATCCACGTCGCCGCGGTAGCGGGCGACGGCGATTCTGCACATGGAACCGACGGTTTCATTCAAGACGGGGACAGCCGCGCTCACTCTTCGGCGGCCTCTGCCGCATACGGGGAGGAGGACCGCGAGGCCGCAGTTGCGGCGGGGGGTGTGGGGGGGGGTCCTGCCGCGGGGGCCGCAGCTGCGGCGGCGCGCCAGACAAAGAAGCGATCCTGGGAGAAAGAGGTTCGCATCCAGAAGACGAACGCGTTGCCCGAGAACATGAGAGACGCTCCTCTCCATTGAGTAGAGGCGGCGGGAGAGGACATGGGGGGGGGGGGTAGGTTTCTACGCGCGTAACTTCGGGGCCAGGCCGTCGAAACGCGAGCAGCGGCAAGACGAGTGCTCGCAGATGCGCGCGAGCCCCGCGCGCATCATCGCCATCTGCGAGTGCGACGACGAGCTGTTCCACGCGCTCTCTGGGGAACGCGACGTCGCCGAGAGCGCGACCGCAGTGGCGGGCGACGCGTTCGCAGATCGACCGCGCTACAGTTACTTGTGCGCGAAGGGCGGCGAAGAGAAGGGGGGCGCTTCTCGTTGGCGTCGGAGACCGCAGTTGCGGCGGCACGGAGTGCCTCGACTACACGAGGGCCTTCTACAAGCAAGAGAGGACGAAAGCAGGGAACATGTGCAAGAGGTATTCCCCTGGCCCTCGTCGCACGCAGATCCCTGGACCATTTCATCGCGCACTTTGGTTCCGAAGTCACCGTCGTGGCAGCGCGCGTGCGCGACAAGTTGGTCATCGGTGACTTTGGCAATAACAGGCTGGACACATGCTACGATTGGTTCGTAGGGTACGTCCAGCAGCACAACCTGCAAGTGTGCATGGGGGACTTCAACTTGTGCATGTTCGATTTGGTCACAAAAAATGCCGCGGTCGCGGCTTGGTCATGGGTTCGGCCGAGCGGGCCCCCTGGAAGGCCGCGGGTGGCGCGCCGAGGGCAGATGGCGTGGCGATTATCTTCGTCGGCCTGCCTGGGGGGCACCGCCTCGCGAAATGCTTGGGCGTCTCAGGCGCAGGCGGCGACGGGCTCCTCTCGCGCCGCAAGTCCGACTCAGTCCTGGCGTTCGATTGCGCGAATGGTCCGTGGAAGCCGTTGGAGACATATTTGCCCGAGAGCTAGGCCCGAGAGGATAAGTTGCTCTCTCTTTTTTTTTTTCTGGCGTCATCTGCGCAATCTACAACCGCAGCCGCGGAGTCCAGTAGAAAGATGGTGCGGATCAACGAGGGGCGCTCATAACCCAAGGGGTGGGGGGCCCGCCCATTCAAAACCGCGCAGAAACAGCTGGGCGTCGGTATCTGGAAGGGTTCCCAAGGAAAGGCGCGCGACGGAGCGCGCTTCTCACTGCGGGTGTTCACGCGCAACCAGCCCAGCAGGTCGCCGCGAAACAGGCGGAGAGGCCGTTGGAACGGCGCAGCAGGCGCGACGAAGCGGGGGGCGGTCATCCGAAGGGGGGCCATCCTGACGGGGGCAGCTCAAGGGCGACCGCGGCAAGGGCAAGGGCAACCAAGGCAAGGGCGACCAGGGCAAGGGCAAAGGCGAGGGCAAGGGCGACTACGAGCGACCACCTGGTGTCGCAGTAGCGGCTGGTGTCGCAGTAGCGGCTCGCGGCCCTGATGCCGCAGTAGCGGCTCGCGCGGAACTCCGCGGCAGCTGGCCGAGTGGCAGTTCGCAGTGCTGGTGGTCAGGGAGTTGGACATGGCGCTGGGGTTCCTGGGATTCTTCGGATTCCTGGGACGCGGGATGGGGCTCCAGGTGGTTGCGAGGTCAGGGCGCCGAAGTCGCCGCTGATGCGCCGCCCGCAGCTGAAATTGCGAAACCGCAGTCGCGGCCTGGCGAACGCGAGCAGGCGGCCGTGGACACTTGGGCTCCGTCGAGTCCGTTTGCGACGGCGTCAACCGTGGAGTGCCGTGGACGGGCTTCGTCAACCGTGGAATGCCATCATCATCACTATGGCGTACTCAACTACTGGATGCCGCTTTTGTGAAGCCGCAGTTGTGGAATCGCAGAGGACAAAGGCGCCATCATCGCTATCGTATATCAACACTCGCGTGGTTTAAGACAGTCGTTGGCGACTGTTTTCGCTAAGTTGCTAAGTTGCGTTCTTAATGCTTTGGGATTCGTCTCCTTTTCGCCGCGACTGGAATCGCTTCGCAATCCTGGCCAGCGGGCGCCCCATGACAGGTCCAACGGTCGACTTTTGACGGGGGGGGGTCAGGGAGGAGGAGGAAGAGCAGCAGGGGGAGGAAAAGAAGGAGAAACGCGAAAAGGAGGAGGAGGACGAGGAGGTGGAGGAGGAGGACGAGGAGGACTCGCCGTTCTTCACGCCCAGCACGTAACGCCACGCTGCTGCGGATCCGCGGGCTCACCGGCCGCATTGCCTTGAGAGGGGCATGTTGCTGTTATCCTCATCAGACATCCCTTTCCCTTGTGAAAACATCACGATGGAATGGTATTGGCCATTTGCGACCTTCGGATCCTTCACTGGGCCCCGGGTGCTTCAAACAACGATTTTACAAGCTTGCGCCACCAGCTGACCCCCTGAGTGTGTATTTTTTGCTTTGGTGTTTGGGTGAGTCCATGTTGATGCCGTGTAGATGAAAACGAGAGGATGATTAGGGGCAGAGGACCGGTTTGCCGAAGGATGTTGTTCGCCAAGGATTGGTTCGCCAGATGACCGTTTCGCCACAGGACCAGTTCGCCAGAGGACCAAGTCGGCAGATATCGGTTCGACAGACCCGGTTCGCCAGACCCGGTTCGACAGGCCCGGTTCGACAGACCCGGTTCTTCAAACATGGTTTAAAACGACACATTCCATGCAGAGTTGGTCAGACAAGATCGTCTGAGCCGCCAGTTGAGCAGTCATCTGCAAGGTGACTTGCCTGCCAGACAACTTCCTTACAAGGGGACTTGCGTGCGGGCCAACCTGCTTTGTTGAGCCCGCCTGTTGCAGCTTACCTTGTGCAATATAGTGTTTTGGTGTGCAGCTGGCGGCGGACTCGCGCCTCGTCTCCTCCCCTCGACTGTAAAGGAAGTTGGGGCAAAGGCGAGAGATACCGAGCGTTTGTCCGCGGCCGTTTGTGCTCAAGCGGCCGGCCGCCAATGTATGACTGCGCCTCATCGCGAGGCACAGTACTTGTCATGGAGACCGAAAACAGTTTCGCTTGACATGCCCCGTCGCTCCCGCGACGATCTCCTACTTCGTGGATGCTACGGTACAGCAGAGTTGGATTTGGACTTCGCTTTCGGCGAAGCGTATGGTTGGGCCTCCCACCCCCCTTCAAGCTTCGTCGGGTTTGATTAATCTTTCGGCGGCTCGGGGCTCTCTTAGATCGTTTTGCCGGCTTCTTGGGGCAGTCTTGGCCCTTTTTGGAGCATTCGGGCTGGGACGTTCGCGTGGGGCTGGGCCGGGGGGGGGTCGAATTCCCGGCGGGTGTGCGGGACGGGGGTGGCAAGGGTAAGATTCCCCCCCACGGGCACATGCCGCCTGCCGCGCAGTGGGCTTGCACGATTCAGCGGCGAGCGAACGAGCATGGGCGGTCATTCGCCGGAGTGACTGGTCGCCCGCTGCTGCGGCAAACCCCGCCGAAACGCCAGCGCAGAATCGAGCTCTCTGGAACTGGCCCGTGTGCTTCGGGCCTGCTTGGGGTTTCGCTGGCCTTTTTAGTGCCCTCTCGGGGCGCATGCCTCCGAGGGTTCAGCTGAGCTCTCCCGAAGACTCCCCTCGTCCTTTCCTCTACTGTTGCCGCTCCTCCTTCCCGTCGTGCCTCGCCTGTAGTGTGCGCCTTGCCCTCTCCCTCCCTCCCTCCCCCCCTCTACTCCGCCCCCCCGCCTCGCCGTCGGCCTTCCCCGTCGTCCGCCCCTGCGCCCCATTCCCTCCGGCCCTGCCCCCCTCCCCCCCCCGCTGGCAGAGGAAGACCGCCGACGCGGTGAGCTGCATCGCCAGCGCCGCCAGCCAGGCGAACGCATGGACCCTCCCCCCGCGGGCTCCGCCCGCCGCCCCTCCCCCATCCGTCCACATCGGGGCCGCGTCGCGTGCCTCGCCCCCCCCCTCCCCAGCCTTGGCCGCCTCGCCCCCTCGGCAGCAGGAGCCGGGGCTGGAGGGCGAGGCCTCGGCGGAGGAGGAGGAGGAGGAGGAGGAGGAGGAGGACGTGGGGTGGGGGGTCGCGGGAGCAGCACGTGGTGGCAGGGGGGGAAGGATTGGAGGGGGAGGCGATGAAGAGGAGGAGGAGGAAGAAGAGGAGGAGGACGGGGACCAGTGTAAAACCAAGAGTCATCATCGATGTTGGGTTTAACCCTCCCTCCAAGCTCCCTTTTCATAGGAATCCACAGCGGTTCCTTTCCATTGAGGGAGCTGCCTCGTTGGAAGACAACCGTTTGAAGATCCTGAAGCGTGCCAAAATATTGTTCTCGGGATTTCAACGCCACGTATCAAAGTGACTGCTGTGTCTTGACGATCCAGAATCGTGCCAAAGTGCTATTTTTGGGACTTCGACACCGCGAATCAACATAATCGTTGCACCCGCATAATTATGAATCCTTCCAAAACACAGTTTTTGGTACGTTAATCATGGGAGTCCGTAAAACCCTTGCAACTTTTGACAACGAATGTGCACGGCGCTAAGGCGAGAGTCACATGTTGAAAAGGAGCCGCCCTCAATCCGTGAAGCTTTTGCAAATTTTGAAAACGAATGCGCGCCGCGCTGGGGCGAGAGCCACATTTTGAAACGGAGCCGCGCTTAATCCGTGAAGCGCGTGCCAATTTTGAAAACAAATGTGGGCGGCGCTCAGGCGGGAGCCATGTTTTGAAAAGGAGCCGCCCTCAATCCGTGAAGCACTTGCACATTTTGAAGGCAAATGTGCGCTGCGCGAAGGCGAGAGCCACATTTTGAAAAGGAGCCGTCCTCAATCCGTGAAGCTCTTGCAAATGTTTAAAACGAATGCGCGCGGCGCCAGCGAGAGCCACATTTCCAAACCAACCCGCCGTGTCTCCGTGAAGCTCTTGGAATTAGTTTAAGCGAGTGTGCGCGGTGCTAAGGCGAGAGCCACATTTTGAAAAGGAGCCGCCCTCAATCCGTGAATCTTGCAAATTTTGAAAACGAATGTACGCGTCGCTAAGGCGAGGGCCACATTTTGAAAACGACCTGCCCTCACTCCGTGAAGCTCTTGCAAGTTTTGAGAACACATGTGCGCGGCGCTAAGGCGAGAGCCACATTTTGAAAAGGAGCCTTCCTCAATCCGTGAAGCTCTTGCATTTGTTCAAGCGAATGTGCGCGGCGCGAAGGAGAGAGCCACATTTTGAGAACGAGCCGCCCTCCATATGTGAAACTGCTTCCTGTGTTTAAAAGCTTCATAGTCAGAAGTGGTGAGGAAGTCTCAGGGGAACTTCCCGGTCCGCCCCAAAAAATAACCTCGGGGTGCGATAGGGAGGAGTTATCCTTAAGGAGAAGGAATGGAGGAGGAGGAGGAGGAGGAGGAGGAGGAGGAGGAGGAGGAGGAGGAGGAGAGAAGAGAAAGAGGAGGAGGAGGAGGAGGAGGAAGGAGGAGGAGGAGGAGGAGAGAGGAGAAAGGAGGAGAAGACAAGAGAGGAGGAGGAGGAGCAGGAGGGGGAGGTTGAGGATGAGGAGGAGGACGAGGAGGAGGCTGAGCAGGAGGAGCAGGAGGAAAAGGAGGAGGAGGAGGAGGAGGAGGAGGAGCAGAAGGAGCAGGAGGAGGAGGACGAGGAGAAAATGGAGGAGGAGGAGGGAGGAGGAGGAGGAGGAGGAGGAGGAGGGAGAGAGGAGGAGGAGAAGAGAAGGAACAACGAGGAGGGGGGGGGGAGGGTGGATGGTTGAGGAGGATGATGATGATAGATGATGAGGAGGAGGAGGGCGGAGGAGGGGCTGAGGAGGAGGAGGAGGAGGAGTAGGGAAGAGGAGAGGAGGAGCAGGAGGAGCAGGAGATGAGGAGTGACGAAGAGGAGGAGGAGGCTGAAGAGGAGGAGGAGCGGAGGCGGACGGGGAGGCGGAGGAGGAAGAGGAGGTGGAGGAGGATGGGGGATGGCTGAGGAGGAGAAGGAGGAGGGAGAGGGAAAAGGAGGGGAGAGGGGAGGAGGAGGAAGGGGAGGAGAGAGGAAGGAGGAAGAGGAGGAGGAAGGACGAAGGGCGGAGACGGAGGAGGAGGAGGAGGAGGAGGAGGAGGAGGAGGAGGAGGAGGGAGGAGGGAGGAGGGAGGAGGGAGGAGGAGGAGGGAGGAGGAGGAGGGAGAGGAGGAGGAGGAGGAGGAGGAGGAGGAGGAGGAGGAGGAGGAGGAGGAGGAGGAGGAGGAGGAGGAGGAGGAGGAGGAGGAGGAGGAGGAGGAGGGAGGAGGAGGAGGAGGAGCAGGAGGAGGAGGACCAGGAGGGAGGAGGCGGAGGAGGAGGCGGAGGAGGAGGCGGAGGATGAGTTGGAGGAGGAGGAGGAGCAACGACGTTGGAATAAGCCCTCCAAGCTCCTTCTTCACATGCCTCATACAACGGTGCTTTTTCACTGATGGAAACCCTCTTTGGAGGACAACCGTTTGAAGACCCTGACGCACGCCAAAACATTGGTCTCGGGATTCCACCGTCACGGATCAGCTTGGCTGTTGCGTCTTGACAATCCCGAAACGTGCCAGAACACCATGCCTGCGACTTCAACACAGCGAACCAACATAACTGCACCCACCGCATGATCCGGGACCTTTTTTCAAACCACCATTCGTGACATGTTGATGGTGGGACTCCGTGAGACGCTTGCAATTTTCTAAAACGAGCTTGCGCCGCGCTAAGGCGAGAGCCACACTTTGAAAAGGAACCACTCCCACTCCGTGGAGCTCTTGCACTTTTTTATAACGAGTGTGCGCCGCGCTGGGGCGAGAACCACATGTTCAAAGCCACCCGTCCTCAATCCGTGAAACCGTTGTAACTTACGATAACACGGATGTGCGCCGCGCTGGCGAGAGCCACATGTTGAAAACGACCTGCCCTCAATCCGTGAAACTCGTGCAACTGTTCAAAAGGAAGGTGCGCCGCGTTGGCGAGGGCCACAGTTTGAAAACGACCCGCCCTCAATCCGTGAAACTCGTGCAACTGCTTAAAACGAAGGTGCGCCGTGCTGAGTTGGGAGCCACATTTTGAAACTGAGGAGGAGGAGGAAGAGGAGGTGGATGAGGAGGAGGATGAGGAGGAGGAAGAGGTGCAGGAGGAGGCGCAGGAGGAGGCGCAGGAGGAGGAGGAGAAGGAGGAGGAGGAGGAGGACGAGCACGGAGGAGAAGGAGGAGGAGGAGGAGGAGGAGGAGGGGGAGGAGGAGGCGGAGGAGGCGGAGGTTGCGGCGGCGGCGTAGGAGTGGTGGAGGCGGAGGTGGAGGCGGAGGCGGAGGAGCAGGTGGAATCACATTAATAGTTCTATATTCAATAGTAGCAGTAATACTCATACTCATGACACTAAGAGGGGTATTACTAATACTACGAATGCGAATGATAGTAACAGGGTCGCCATACTAACAGTATAAAACAAGAGGAACATCACTCAGAGGAAAGCGACGAGGACGAATCTCAACACCGAAGACGAGCCCTAATACTAATAACACGACGGCGAACCTGATGAACACTAAGAATAGGAAGAGCGATACGACTAACGATGATCATACCGATGGTAAAACACAATAGCACGAATAATAGTACTGCTATGGGGAGGAGGAAGACAACGAGGAGGAGGAGGAGGCGCGGGGAATGCTGACGAGGAGTGTCGTAGGATGAGGCTGCTGAAACAGGAGGAGGGTGGATAATCCATCCCCTGGGAAGATGAGAGCCGGCGGACATGTGAGCACACTTATGATGAACATGTTGTTGATTATGTTGAGTATGTTGATGATGAGTATGGCGACGGTACTGCTGCTGGTGAGGATGGTTCAGTGTTGGTGATGGTCGTGATGCTGGTGGTTATGGTAGTGCTAATGCTGGTCATGATGGTGATGTGGTGATGCATAGGGTAAGACTGAGGGGAATGTGGTCGAGGGGGAACGAGGATGATAAAGAGGAACAGGAAGACGAGGAGGAGGAGGAACAGGAGGAGGAGCAGCAGGAGGAGGAGGTTGCTTACATTCTGAGGGCTTGGGGCGAAACCAGGAAGTTAGGTCGTCCTCCGCGGGGCGCATGAGCAAATTGCCTTAGCGTTTGCTGGGCCCTGGCCTGTTCGTGCCTGTTGGCTGTGAGTGGTCCTATGAGTCTTCTGGTGCCAAAAGAACTTCTCGGGGGGAGGCTGCCACTGTGACTGAGGCGGGGTCCCTGGTCCTGGAGGTGCCGTGAAGGGTTGCTGGGGGGCGGGAGTCAGTAAGTGGGCCTTTCCCCTTACAGGTAGCAGGTGTCCCGACCGAGTTTAGTTTCGGTTTGCCGCAACTCCTCGGTGAATATGGTTTTAGCAAGTTTGCCAGGTGCCTTTCTGTTGCAGGCTCGCCCTGAGCACTGGGGAGACAATCAGGACCCACGCTTCACTTGGACTTCGAAGGAGGAGGAGGCGGAGGAAGTGGCATGAGGAAGAGGAGTAAGAGGAGTAGGAGGAAGGGGAAGCGGTGGGGGAGGCAGGGGGCGAGGGCGAGGACGCCCCTGCGCAGGATCCTCTCGGGGCCGTGCATCTCGACGCTCGAGGTCCTGCTGCAGCAGGGGCGGCAGAACGGCGATATGGAGGCGGCGCCGCCCCCCCCCCATCGTCCGTTGCCGAGGGGTCACGGACCAGGACGAGGACGACGAGGATCATGAGACCAACGAGAGAGGGACAGGAGAAGGAGGAGGAGGAGGAGGAGGAGGAGGAGGAGGAGGAGGAGGAGGGTCGTCCAGGCGATCCTGCCACAGGTGCGGGTTCAGGTCTGGAGGTGGCCGTGCTCGTCGACATCGTGATCTTGAACATGTGGCGCCTCAGCTGCGCGCCAGTAGGAGG